CCGCTCCTTATTATGAAAATGTAGAGTCAAAAGAACTTGTGTAACATAGAAGGACAATATCTATTACGAGTCAAAGAAACCCCACACAACTCCAAAAAGATCCTAAATTGAACGAGTGAATTAAACTCCAAAGGATATGTAGAAGCATCATGCCCCAACAAAAAGGGTGAATGGCTTTGAACTCGATCCAAAGTGTTAATCTTTCCAACTAAAAGTTTTCAAGCAAAGAATTTGACCCTAGAGATTTTTCTCCTTCCGAAGCTTGGAAAAGAGGAGATCTAGGAGGAGAGGGGACCAGAAAAGCAATCAACCCCTTGGAAGAATTGGGAACCCAAAAACAAATATCCCTCCTCCCCGAGCCAATCAAAAATCCTCCAACAAAGAAATAAGAGTCAAGACACTAGACATCTCTATATCTGACAAAGAACGCTAAAAGCCAAGAAAGAACAAAGAATAATTACCCAGAAGGCAAGATGCAGACAAAATATTGTCATTTGCACCAGAGAAAGCTTTAAATTTGTAGTGAACAACATCCCACCACCTCAAAATTCCATTGATAATGAGGGGCTGCTAACCAATCAAAACCAATTTGGAGCTCGAAGTTGCTATGCTCTTAGTTCTACAGCTTCCTTCATCAACAAGTGATAAAAGGTCATAGCAAGAGCATGTATGAACCAGATTAATTGCATCACTTCAGGGAAGTTATCCAAGCATTACACCTCAAAAGCTTCATATTGACTACCTAAATGCGCCTTCTTTCTTTTTGGGATCGCAATGGTGTGTGCTTTTCAGGAGTGCTTCAAAGGATCTTGACCACAGTTTGTGGCGTTGTCACTTGTCACTTGTCAGTACACTCAGGATATGTGGGGTCATTTTTTGAGTCATTTGGGGTGTCTTGAGTCCGTAATAGGGACTTGGACTCTGATGGAGGAGGTTTTGTTGTCCCCTCCTTTTCGGGATAAGGAAAGATTTTTGTGGCAGACTTGTTTCTTTGATATTTTGCAAAGGATCTGGATTAAGAGAAATAATAGAATTCTTAGAGGTCGGAGAGATTCAAGGTTTATGTTTGGGAGCTTATAAGATTTAGTACTTCTCCGTGGGATCGATTTCTAAGTTCTTTTGTAATTATCAGTTAGGTGTTATCCTTTTGGATTAGAGCCCCTCGGGCCTCAGGAGGCCTCATGTTGGTGTGCTCTTTTTTTTTTT